TCTTCATTTCCACAATATAAACAATCACTATCTTGTTTGATACTGAAGCGGCATAATTCTTTCTTCTGGTGACACTTATATTGCTTCTTAATTTATTGCAAGTAACTATCACTGTGAATAATTTTATTATCTTTGTCTTGTTTCAAACAGATCCAATCAAAGCAGTATGGAGGTCTACATTAACAATGGTGGCATTTCACTAGACATGAAAAGACACATGATGTACATGTACCAAAAGCTGTTACATACAGCATAAAACTCTAAAAATGGAACTAAGCAATGGTCTTCCGAGAGTTTCTGTGGAAGTTAAGTCTTAAACAAGAACTTAGAAACCAAAGCAGTGAAGATCAATGAGGAATGGAAAGAGGAACACTCCACTTCTATATTTAACTCTGTAATCTTCATTTGAATTCATATGCCAAAACCAAGGTACATGTACAATGTAGATGTACTTTTCATGCAGAGCAATTATTATGAACATAATTTTCTTCTGATCATCATTCCCCTTACAACCATCTTATCAGAACAGGCATCGTAACAATATGCTTTTCTTCCTACTGGATTTACAATGCAATTTTACCACATCTGCTACAATCTTAAAGTTCATTAAAGTAAAATGTCACGAAGGAAAACCATTTAAATGGAGAATCATGATTGGCTCTTATACCTTGGACATTAAACAACACCACATTTAATGTCATGGACGCTTTGTGGTCTTTGTGTGATCTTTTTGACGAATCCATAAATATTTACCACGGGAAATTTACCTCAGGGAAATATTGGTAACACTCACTAAATGCAGTTTCCCATCGTAAAAGGGTCACTTACCGCGACAAAAAGAGCCCTGTGTAACCGCACCCTAAGAGAGCTATGGTGCTTACCATTGAGCAAAAAAATCCAGAAATTTCTGTTGAAAGTCAAATGGAACAGTAAGGGTGCTTACCATTTGTCAGAATAAACTGGTTGGGACCGATGGATTATGGTAATTAGGGTTTCTCCAAAATCAGCAAACCAACCGAACGAGATGACGCTTACCATTTGCAATTCGATTTCCCGTAATTGTGTTGGCTGATGAGAGACTGAAGACTGGGAAGTTAAGCAAATGGTAAGGAAATTTCTGCCGTTCCGTTCCGACCGGAAAAATAGGACTACCTCTGGAGGTAGTCTACAATTTCCGAACGGATTTTCCACGAAAATTTCCGTTCCATTTCACTTTCAACCAAAATTTCCAGATTTTTTTGCTAAATGGTAAGCACCCTAATTTTCCGCAAAATCCATTCAGAAATTGTAGACTACCTTCAGAGGTAGTCCTCTTTTTCCATTCCGAACGGAACAGTGGAAATTTCCTTACCATTTGCTAAACTTTCCAGTCTCCAGTCTCTCATCAACCGAAAACAGCTGCAAATGGTAAGCGCCATCTCGTTGGGCTGGTTTGCTGATTTTAGAAAAGCTGTTACAATTATTCACCGGTCATCCCAACCGATTTATTCTGACAAATGGTCACTAAGCACCCCTAATTTCCTCGAAACTAGAAGTCCAAACATGTTTCTCCCCTAACCGTTTTCTCGTCTGCAGCTTGGGATTCTACAGAATCTTTACTCAACATTTATCACTATAACATGACAAAATGTATTACATTTGCTGTAATGCTAATCATCAACGTTTATTTGACTGAAATCCCACACAAGTACGCATTGCGGACCTATTTTTTGATATGTTTTCAACGACTTTCTTATGGCTTCCATTCAAACCTGGCAAATCCCAAATTATGAAAAGAAATGTGAGAGGTGAAGTTGTCGACTGATCAACAGGTTACATGATGCTTGATATTTTCACCATACCTAGTTCATGCATTTTGATTAGCTTATTTAAACCATGGAAGGTGGCCACAGTTAGTCATGCATGACTGTGACTGGGTTGTTATAACAAAGATGAAAAGTTCTGTCACTCTTTTGTCCCTTAAATCTAGATCCAACAAAACTATTCACAGACAACATAGTGATTTGTGGTTCATTTAGTAAAAAAAGTAATGACATATTTTCTTCAGCCTTTGAGCTTGGGCTAATTTGAATAAGCTGTTGTAAGTGTAGAACAATCAAAACAATTTCAGACTCATCCTCTATTTACTTAATTACTACTTATTAATACATCTGTGAAAGAAATACTGTCTGTCTGTCTGTGATAAAAATTTAAAAAATCTGCAAAATAAATACTGATTATTCTACATCACTGTCACTAAACTCATCCTCTATTAACTTTCTGTAGAGGTTTTCATCATCATTGTCTTGTTCTTCTTGCCCTTCCTCTTGTTCTTCTTGATTCTGTTGTCCTTCTTCTTCTTTTTCTTCGTCGTCTTCTAACTCCCCTTCCTCCTCATTGATCATATCATCTAATGCCTCCAGGTATGGTTTGGCCAGGCTATTAAAAATATGGAGAGGGATTTACTACATTAATAGACACAACAATATTGTGGAAAACTGACACTTTCTGTGAAGGGGCCTATTTCTTGAAACTTCCTGGCTACTCAAGGGCTTGTCAACTTACAGGGACCGTTTTCAGGCTGCTGTTTTGGGCCCAAAGCACCAAACAACCTAATGAAACTGAAATCAGTTTTTAAAAAGAGCTTTGGAATTATAATCTAAAGTACAACAGTAATATTTTTATAATTCAAATTATAAATATGCATACTGTATTTCTATACCTAAATAAGAAAACCAGTTTTTGATTAATATGATGCAAATGGACTTCTCTATAAACTCACTTCCTTCAACTTAATGTCTGCTAATTTTTCATGCAAATAGCAAACCATCAGTTGTGATTGCAGTTACCCATCTCATTTTATATAGCAATTTTTAATTTGGTTTCAAAATTAACTTGCATTTGGGTTTGCATCACTGTGCTCTGTTTTGCATCCTAGCTGTACTTTCTTTGTTGTGTTGTTTGTAATATTGTTAATACTCTGGTTCTGGTTTCAAGGAACTTCAATGAAAACTGTTCAGACATCACTTACTTCCTGTATGAGATGAGGTAATAAAGTACATGTCATTTTTGGTCTGGGACATTGATGGGGATTCCTGGACAGGCCCCCAGAGGAGTTCCCATCTGCTTTAAAAATTATATCATTAGGCTAGCAAAACTAGTGCTGGTCCCAAACCCCACATTAGAATATAAAATCCTTAAAACTCATAGTCCTGTTGTTATTGGGATAAGATGTTCTACGTTCTGAAACACCTTCGTTACAAGTTTAGAAGCCATAGATTTAGGAAAGCCATTCCCTAACAGGAATGTTTTAATCATTGTTATTTGTTTCTGAAAGAGAGAGTCTATTGCACATATACAAGAAGCCTGGTGCAACAAGGCTCTAACCCAAGCAATTTTGCGAGGCCAACGTTCACGACTAGGAAACAAGACATTCTGTCCAGTGTTTGTGTGCTTCCTATAAATGTCAATGGATGTTCTTTTCAGAGAGATGTCACCATGCCATGGACCATGCCATTATATCTTCAAATTTGTTGACCGTAAAACATGTCAGATTTATTTGGTTTGTCCATCAGCAGCACATCTCCAAAATAATGTCCATAAAACTACTCATTTATAAGGCCACTGTCAAGCATTTTACGAACAATATCGTTTTTGAGTTCTGTCATGATAAAAAAAAAAAACAATGGCCTAATGAAGAACCCAACAAAATGCCATCAATTTGCTTGTTGAGTGCTCTCTTAATTAATTTGGTGTTGATCAATTTATCGTCATTAACTCCTAAGAAAACAATCTGAACAACTGTCAGGGCTTGCTGTCAGGGCTTACAAACTCCAATTCCTGTCAGAGTGAAAACAAGTTGTTTTCCTTCCACATCTACATGGGAGAGCACCATATGTGGGTGGTGGTGGTGGTGTATCGAGTTGCGTTTGACAAACCCTTTTCATTTTTTATGTTTCCACATATAGCAATATAAAGGAACTGTGTTTTAACTGTTTAATAGCCAACCACTTTATTTTTAAAAAGTGTCTGTTATTTTTAGTTAAAGTTAATTTGGCTAAAAATTCCTTTCTATTTAAATGTATGTTGCATGAAAACTGTGATCAGGTGGCCCTGGATGCAATTTGTGTTTTTCTGTAATTTTGAAAAGTCAAGCCCCACTGTTTGTTATTACTATTGTATCAAAAAGATAACACCATTCTTATCATGGTTATTCTGACTATTGATCCCATTTCATCATTACTTGCAGTTATTCTGGGCACACTCATCCATGTCAAAGTTTGCAACACAAATTTTGGGGTTTTGAAGTGTTGGCTAAGAAATTTTGGGAAATATTTTTGTCTTTCACTCGGTGATAATGTAACTTAACTCCATTTACTGGAGATAATATTTTTATTCTTACTGGTGTTTGACTGGACCCCATTTTTTGGACAACAACACTACCGGTAAAAAAATTTTGTTGGCATACTTTTACTCAATTTCTGGAACCAGCTTATTTTCACTTAATACAAACCATGCCCAAGTTTCAGGGAAATCATTTGAGCAGAAGTTCAGAAGTGTTAAGGTCAAAGACATGTAAACTCAACTCTAACATTCACTGAAAGTTTCTATATAATTGACTGTCATTTCCAAAACAAGCCACAAACCCAAATTTTGTGAGAAGCTTGCCCCAAAGCTTGCTAATCAAAGTGGCTAGTCAATTAGTGATTGTCCAAACCATAAAAAGCATTAATCCCTAGTTCTCAAAACACTATAAAATGCTTGATAACCTCTTTGAATTTTCAAAGATACATTTTGCAACAGTATTTGGAAATAACTTTTGTGTCAAAGTCTTTCCACACAAATTGCACGATACTGCAATATTTTGGTTACAAGTTTTACTGTTGTGACTCAAAAAGAAATGGGGCACTGTTGTCAGGATTGTAAGCTACTCCCCAACTGATCTCTGGTGAGTCGGAGAGAAGCAGTTTTGTTGTTCTATGATTACAAATACAAAATGGGTACTACAGGTACAGGCTGAGCCATCTTTTTGCAGTTCCTTAATATATAGTTAAAAAGACAATTATCAATAATAACAATAATAATAAATAAAAATAGCAATAATAAAAACAACAACAATGACAACAAAAATAATAACAATAATATTAATGATAATGATGTGCTTTGTACAGGGCATGAATTATGTTTTCATTCATGACAGCTGGTTCATCATATTTGACCAGTAAAAGTGCTTCACTGGGTCTATTTCTCAGAAAAGTGGAGTCTCATCAAAATGTGTGGGCACAGTTCATGGATGTTTAAAATCTTGTGAAGGTTGTGCTCTATGACTGATTAATTACCCAATGAATCACTGTTGCAACACCAAAACAAGAAGGCAAGTTTATAAAATAAAGCTGAGCATTTCTGCAAGTTGAAATTTTCTCATGAGTGCTAATGGGCAACAAAAGTCTACTAGCTATAGGCAACTAAAAAGACACATTGGGAACCAACAAAAACAGAACTAGTTACCCAAAGGACAAATTAGCAAGAAAGGTAGTGTTGAACACTGCATTAATAGCTGTCAACCTCTCTTAATTCATTTATCTTTGTTGTGCCCCAAACCATTGCAGGAAAGAAAGTGAGTGCTTTGCAGGCTGTAAGTATACATGTAGAATACAGTAGGGACAATATTGTATATGTATGGTTTACCAGTTTTGTCATTTAAGTGCTATTGGTTACTTTGTAAATGGCACTTCAAAAGTTAAGGTTGTTATTTGCTAACACAGAAAGCTCAACTTCCTACAAGCTGCCTTGTTCACAGCTTTTGGGGTTTTAAATAAGAGTCACAACAAACAATAGAAAAAATATGTGTGCTGTGACAAATGCTTAAGTAACTACATAATATGCAAATATCTTCCATGTAACATGCAGCAAAAATTGCTTGTATCACTGCCATATATCTATACCTTAACCTATAATATACCACAGAACCTCCCAAACTACCGGTAAGTTGAGAATTTTATTTTCTATCAATTTTAAAAACAAAATTATTTTGTTCTAGTGGAGACAATGGGTTTTTGACTAGTTTAATGGATACACAAGGATATTAAGCTATGCATTAAAGTGGTACTGTACAATCAAACTCCATCTACTAAACACTCCCTGTGCTAAATTTTAAGCCTTCATAGTGCGATGAAAAGGAATTAAAAATTAGAAACTGGCTAATTTATCTACAATCCCGGCCAAAAGTAGTTGGGACACTTGAGCTGTATCACATATTCCCCTTCCCCCATAATCAACATTGGAAAATATTGCGTTTTTTCCAACAAAAAGGGAAAAAAATCACCTGATTATCAACATTGAAAGTGGGGGGAGGGGAGAAATTGCTTCGTGTCCCAACTCTTTTGTCTGGCATTGTCTGAAAGAAGAATTTAAAGAATGTCACACCACTTGCTCTAACAAAGGCTGGAGAAGAGGGGAGTTGTACCGTCTTGCGGGTAGAGCTAACGAGCGCCACTAAAAAGAACAGCATACAATGGCAAGTTTTACCTGGGTGGGCACTAAGAAACATAAAGTCATCTTCCTAAATGACCTTCTACGGTAGGCGTCTACGTCTTTAGAGGTCTGGTTGATTCGCGCAAAACAGAAATGATGCAACTTTGGTTGAAACAGTAGGTACCGAGCAAGTGGATATTTGTCCTTGTCCTCGCCGTTTCGCAGAGTTTATCTGTGGACAGCAATAAAGCGTTGCTGCTACCTAATACTGGAATGCCTATAAAGTGAGGTGTGTTCTCGGCTTCAGAAGTTTAACTACCGCGATTGACCCTTACGGTTAACTATTCTGGTAAAACATTTTGGTTCCAAACTGCCACGTGTATGGCAAGCCGTTTGTAGCAAAATGAAATCCTTGCAATATATGTTTAATCCTTTAAATAATGGTTTTATTTAAAGATAGAAAAAGGCATTCAATCCAATGGTAAATAAAATTTTGGTTCAATTCAATCTTTTAATTTTCACGATTCAATCCAATACCTAAAATATTGATTCAATCCAATACCTAAAATATTGATTCAATCCAATACCTGGAATATTGATTAATCCAATACATTGAATATTGATGCAATCCAATACCTGAAATATTGATTCAATCCAATACCTCAATTATATTGATTCAATCCAATACCTCAAATATTGGAACGGCGTTGGTAACGCTACCTGACAAATAGGGGCGTCTGACATATAGGGGCGTCTGACATATAGGGGC